CAGTCAGGGCGGCTAGGAGCTGGAACCAACTTCAGAGGGAAGTGGTGTTTACTCCTACCCTGGGGGTCTTCCAAAGGCGGCTAGATAGACACCTAGCTGGGGGCATTTGACCCCAACATTCTTTCCTGCCCATGGCAGAGGGGTGGACTTGATGATCTGCTCAGGTCCCTTCTGACCCTACCAACTATGAAACCTGTATTAGAAATGTCAAATCTATCATTTATAGTACATTGTTAGTAGAAATATTTCCCCATGTTTCTGATAAATGTATATGGAACATCGTTTTGAAATAATTACTGAACTTTCAGCCAAAAACTTATTAGGAACTAAAGAGTCAGGAATTTCCATCAGTTTACAAACATAAATTGATGCCCATTGACTTTGGTTATCTTTATAAAAAAAAACAACAACCCCACACTCCAAATTAAAGCTGCCATTTGACCAAGCCTGCAGATCTCATGTCATAATGGGGTTTCTAAACTTCATCAAGACCCAAGCCTGGAATCAATGCACCAAAGCAACTTTTTCAGTAGTATTACAATGCAAGATCTGAAAGTAATACAAGCATTTCAGGGCAGGGACAACCTTTTTGTACAATAAAGTACTAGTGTACCTGGAGCTCCTCTGCACTACCATAATTTTAAACTATGTCTAAATGGGAAAAGAAATCTAGGTAGGATACAGAAATGCTCAGACATATGGATTAAAGTGGTGAAACACGGATCTACAACAGTTCAGTATTAGGCACTTCCTCCCTTTTCATTTATTGTGTCTAGAAAATCTTATCAAGAACACTAGCAGCCACTTACCTCATTGTAAAAAAAATGTACAGTGTGATTGTTGAGTTTTAGAGAAAGAGTTTTCAAAAATGATATATAATAAGCCATGATCTCCTCATCAGAAAAGTCAAATTTGTGTACGATGATGGAATTGACATAGTTATTGGAGAGCAGATAATCTGAAATAAAGAATTGTACCACAAATCACAATAAAGGATAAACATTAAATTAGTCTGTAATGTAAATGATGTGCCTGACAATGAAAAGCACTATATAAAAAAGGGTAACCTAGCAGTAGTTAAATCTTTGCTTAACAATTAAATATCCCTACTTTTAAGCGTAGCAACAGAAATTAAGACTTTGAATCAGGGGTGCCAAACATGCAGGCTGCAGAGCCCGTCCACCTGGCCCCTGGTGCTTCCCCTGAGTCTGATCAGACCCACATAGGGCACAGCACATACCAACGGTGTGGGAATGGTGAGCAGGCTGGATCAGGCTCATTGACCCCTCCCCCAGCATACCTGCACTGCACACAATGCTCACAGGTACCATGTGCAGCACAGATCCTAGACTAACTGTACCAAACACCATGTGCAGCTCACTCCTGGAACCGCCGGGGCAGCCATCATGTACAGCACAGTCTGGCCAGGGTGGCCACCATGTGCAGCACAGCTGCTACTCTGGACAGACTGTGTTGCAAGTAGTGCCAGTTTCAACCACTCTAAGATCTGTGCCACACAGCACAGGTTCCAGACTGGCTGGAGTGTCCACCAGATCAGGTATGCTAGAGGAGAAGAAGGATAAATTTGTTTTGAAAACTACTGCTTTGAGTAGTAGTGATATGCATCTGCACCAAATTCCTACAAAAGGCTTAGTTTCCATAGACAAGGTTAAAATGGAAACAAAATATACTTCCATCTGTATTTTTACTTATATAAGCTACAAGATTTTGAGGCTGGTAATCAAATCTTTAGACCAATTCTTTCCCCTTTCATATTACACATTCTCAAAAGCGTGGATTATTTCTGCTTGCCACTAGTTGCTGCTCTTAAGCAAATGTTGACATTTCCTTGTCATCTTAAACTTTTAAAGAGACACCGAACTTAACATGGTGTTTTGTTGGAATGCCAGCTCCATCAGTCAAAACAGTTCCAGAAGGAGGTTTTGTTCACTGAAATATGTTCTCTCAGCAAGAGCAAAGCAGACATTTTAGGCCCTACCTAACCAGTGACTTTATGGTTTATTTTAAAGAGCCCCTTTAAAAACGTGGAGCTACTATATTTTTTCCAACAGTAAAGTCAAAGGTTTCTGTACTGCTGGAAACTCATATGCAAACTGGAAACTAATTTTGAAACAGACTTCAGAATGACATTGTAATGGATTTACAGTGCTATCAAAAAACCCAGCAAGTTCAAGTTAACAAAATGAAAATAGATTAGACCATATACTCAGGATTTAAAATTTGCTTAATAATCAAAATTTAGCTTTCAATGAGTTCTTACAGAGTGAGGTTTCATGACTAATATTCTCAAAGAGGATGTTCAAGGTCTGCAGCAGCTGCACACACACATAACGACCAGATTTCTGACGCAGTATGTTTAGGAAGAAAACAAACATGTTCTTCTCCAAGAAAAAGCTAGAAAACAATAAAGAACTCTTATTAATTGGCTATATTTTGTTTGTTTGAATCCTTACCTAAACTTGACAACTTTAATACTGTGTTTGTAAAAATCTCTTAAAAATTACATCCATTAACCATTTCAAACAAAAGTAGCTTCTTCAAGACTAAACAAATAACCAAAAATCACTAAATGCAAATTATGTGATGTTTGAAAGACAAAGATTTAGTAGTTAAGCAACTTATCAGTGTTTAATTTACTGGAAAAAAAAATCAGGATGTGCAATGAAAAGCGATTCACAAAAAAAGATGGATTGATTTTAGCACAACAGGTATACAGATATTCTACCCCAGTATTAAAAATATGTGAAAAATTGGTTGGACATTCTGTTGTTGCACGTGTTTATATACAATTTAGTATTGCAGTGGCATTCACCAAGATCAAATTCTGCAGACAATTCTCAAGCTATTTATTCACAAATCTTCTAGTTTTCTAAGATTATATTAGAATGCATTTTCCCTAACCTAGGAAAAAATGGAAAAAATGTTTGAGTAAACCTGCTTCTAAACTAATCATATAAATTCTGCAATTAGAGAGCAATGATAAATTGCTTAACAGTTTATTCAGCTTTTTTCACATTAACACCGAGAGCAGTGCTAGGGAGTATTTCAACAGGCACAATTCTGCTATATTTCCATGCTACTAATTTTGAAAGCACCCCTCATAAATAAGACTAAACACCTAAACATTTATATCCTTCATTTTATTACTCCCTTTAACAGCAGTTGTAACAACACATTTTCAATTTAAACACACAGGATGCTGTTAATGCTGAGTGTGTTACTTTAACGTAGATTTGCTTTTTAAGAGAAAAAAATTACGGTATTTATCATTATATTAGCAACAGTGCAGTTTCAGCAGAAGAGTATGTACTTCGTCCACCTTTACAATTTTACTTCTAAATAAAATCTTTTTACTTAAACTACTTGTAAGGCTCTGCCCTACTTTTGAAAAATACAGAATCTAAAGGTAAATTACATGATGGTAAACACCGTGAGCTTTAAATATAATGAGAAGTAAGAGCCTTCCACGCTAAATGTTTAAACTATTATGGTTTAAAGCTACCTCATTAATCATCTAAATACCAAGCCCAGTTCTGATTAAATAAAACTAAAACATGTCTCTGCTGTCTACCTGTAACTACAGTTGTTTGCTGGTGCTAGTTCCACCCCTCTACTCCCTCCAGACTGCACTTATTTTTATCAGACTTTAAACCACAACAGTCAAGCAATAGGCACATGGCAGACAAAAAAGACATCACAGTTTGAATACTCAGCCTGTTGCTTTAAAACTCATTCATTAATCCCATATTAGTAGGGCCCATATTAAAGAAAACCCAATCTTTTCTTTCTGAAAATCAAGACACATCATGATCACAGCAGGAGTGAGAGAAACAAATGGCAAAAAAATTATAATGAAGGCCACCATGTATAACACCAGATGCTTCACTTAATTTGTCAGCTAATCAGGTTAATTGACAAAGCAAGAAACACCCATAGTAGTTTTACAGGATTTTCTAGACTTTAATTAAAAGGGTCATTTTGACTAAAGTCTCTGTTATACTATACCTTTGTTTTCATTCTATCTGAAAAAAATAAAGGGTTTGTTATGAAGTTCCCCTAGATCAGAGCTCTTCAGCCATTTGCCACCCCTTGCAACCTGATCCCCTACTAGGGGCTGCAAATATCCATCCCCTCCCCACCCCAGCCCTGTGCCCATGCCAAGCAGAGTACCTTTGCTTACCCTTACAGCCAATCTCCATCCCCAGTGACAAGCGCAGGGAAATTCTTTGGCAAGGGTAAACATAAGTGTAAGAGCAGCAGGGAAGGTTGTAGATGGGATGGACAGCATACAGCTCTGCTGCTCTAGACCAGATGCAATGTCACCGCAGGCTGAATCCATCCCTTGAGCTATAACCCCTGCACTAGCAAAAAGCTACCCACTATGGACTACTAAAAATATAGCTAACTTTTAGTGGATACCATTCTGCACACCTTTTGTTTGATACAAATTGTGGCTGCCTACAAATTCATTAGGGGGGACGCAGCAAGTGATTGGAGATGCTCTGTTCACCAGGGCGCCTTGTGGGGTAACAAGAAACAATGGTCACAAACTGACAGAGAGCAGAATTAAGCTAGATATCAGGAAAAACTTCTTCACAGTAAGGGTGGTCAACATTTGGAATGGGCTTCCAAGGGAGGTGGTGCTCTCCCCTAACTTGGGGGTCTTTAAAAGAAGGCAGGATAGGCTCTGGCTGGGGGCATCTGAGCCCAGCACGCTTTCCTGCCCAGGCAGGGGGGTCAGACTCAATGATCAGTTGACGTCCCTTCCGACCCTAGCATCTATGAATCTAAGGAAATACTTCCTATATATGAAATACCAACCATTTTCAGATCTTCTGATCAACAACTGGATTATTATTATTATTATTATTATTATTATTATTAACAACGATAATAACAATGATAGCAAAGATTTAGAGCACTTACTCAAATACTGAACTGTCATTCTGATCACCCCATATAAGGATCTCAGTTATGGAACGAATAGTCTCTACTAATAGATTCCGGTTATGATCCGTTACTGTGGTATTTTTGGTCAAAACATGATACATATACCTAAACAAAAAGAAAGTTGTAAATATTAAATATAAGAATAACAACTAATATTAGACTCTGATTTTCACACTCCTTTGCACATGTAATACAGTACCCTGCAGTACTGTTTTCCTACAGTCAATAGATCAAGGAGATTTTTTTTTTTTTTTTTGCTGGTGCAGCCAGTGATTTGTGAAAGACTACTATTTGTATTTTATTTTAAAAAGGATCCAAGTGAAATAGAGCATGGAATGCAAATGTATAAAGTGTAGGTGGCAAACAAAAACTATCAGAATGATAATGAATGCTGTACACCTTCTAAATGCCAATGACTAAATAGAGCAAACATTATGATTACGTAGGCTATTTGTCCAATGGGTTTGTTATTGTGATTTCTCAGATGACCACTTTAAAGTCAAGTAAAACAACAGCAGGGAAAACAGTTGTCTGGAGAAATATATTAATTCTAAAAGATGACATGTATGCTTCAACTAAATTGCTTTATGCTTGATTATTAAGTGATGAAAAAAAAAAAAAACAATATTTTGAATTCATGAAGAAGGATTTATCCAGACTGGCTGAGTTTAGATGCTACCTGAGATGAGGTAGCTTCCAGCTCAGATATCTGAATTAAAAAGCTAGATGGAAGACAGTTAGACGTGTATCCTGACCCAGATGTAATATTCCAGAACCCTCATAATCTGCACAACTACTACCAAGTAACTTGCAGGGAAATTAAGTATTTTATGCTGACTCCTTTTCATTGCACATTGAATTCGCTGTAAAGTTTTCTACAAAAATAAAGCATCTGGGAAGTGTTGAATAGTGTAATGTTTTGCCTGAAATCTCTCCAATTTTATTTATTTATTTATTTATTTATTTACTAAATTCAAGGGACTATTCATGTGGAATGCCAGGGTTTCTTCTGAAAACAAATTATTGAGTGCCCATAGAGCCCCAGTCACAACTAGAGCCACAATCTGGCACCCCAGCATCTGCTGATATTCTCAATTTCATTGAGCAACAACATGGTTCAGAAAATAGACCGAGGTTCAGAAATACTATGTTAGTGTTTCCAAAAAAAAAAAAAAATATTTGAGATGTCCTGCATACTAGAAATTCCAAGTTTTAGTTCAAATCATTGCTTTCTGTACATACCACTTCAGAAAAAAGCAAGCAATAATTGTACCTGCAAACACAATACTATCAGAACAATTATTCTGTAATAATTTGCATCCAAAATAAATGGCAAAGTCTTCTCCACATGGAATAAAACCCTTTGAGTTTAAGGTGTTTAATTAGAAGAGGATAATATTGCACTATTTACATACATTCAACCTTTACGAGTTGAATAAGCAATATCTGAAGTATGAGATCTGTAGACAGATGCATCTGTACATATACGAACTTATTTAAATGTGTATAATTACACTTACAAAACCAACAAAAACCCAATGCTGTGGTTAGTCCTATGCTGATCAGTACAGAGAGCAAAAAAATAAATCACAAGCTATTGTATTACTTTGCCCCAATATTCTCTAAATTGAGAAGCATTTCCCAAAAGCTTAAAAACAATTAGTGCAGAAGGCTTAGCATGACTTGAAATACATTAAATTTGAAAACTTTTTAATCTGTTATGGTGGCCAGGGCTTTATATCAGCGGTCACCAACCAGTCGATCCTCGATCAGGGAAGCCCTGACAGTCGATCTCCATGGTAGATCCTGGATTGCCCTTTACTTGAAAAAGTGATCTTCACCTTAAGAAGGCTGAAGACCACTGCTTTATAGGCTCTAAAGGTAAAAAAGCAGGTATACCTGGATTACAGCTTTCACCACTTGTTTTCTTATCTGAAGAATGTAACATAAGGGGTTATTTCATAAAGTTATACCTGTTCTTTCTGTAGCCAGTGTGACTACAATTAAAGTCTGCAGCTGTTTAACTGGGTCATTTGTAATTAAATTTCCTAGTATGAGGAAAAGCTGGTAACTCGAGCGCCAAACAAAAGCTGTTGCCTTGCTCTGAAGCTACACCTTTATTTATCCAATTAAAATTGCATGAGGAGGTATGTGCCCAACATTCAATATCAAAAACACACTAGCCATTGTTTGGGAAAAGTTGTTAAAGCTTATCTTCACATAATGTTAAGTCTTCAGTCAGTTAATAGAAATTCTTTGTTGACTTCATTCCTACATGTATCAATTATTTTTTTTCACTTTAGCTTGGAAACAAGAACTGCAGAAGAGGTCAAAGTATCATGGGCATAATCCTCCACTACTGAAGCTAATAAAAGATTCTGCCACTGAATGCACAGAAAGGTCAAACTGGGCCCCAATTAAATCTCCCTAAGAAACTGGTAAAGTTGAGAGCATGTTTCAGCAACTTAAAAGGTAATAATCAATATATATGGAAGTTGTGCAAATTAACGTTTATACTTACTATACATGGTATTTGATAAAAAAAAACATTAACACCAGGGATCCAGGTTTCCCATTCACTATGCACTTACTATACATGGTATTTGATATCTCATTTTAAGGAGAAAAACACAGATTTTCTCTTTTAAAGGAGAAACCCATGGAAACTGTGGGTTTCCCCTTTCAGGCTGGCAAAGTTCCAGCCTGCAGGGAGCTGTGGGAGCAGGAGGACATTCAGGCAGGGGGCACCATGTGCATGTGTGCACATACAGGGGAGGGCTGGGGCTGCTACCCAGCCCAGGTGCTGTGTGGGGCTAGAGGGCTGGAGCTGGAATGTGCGGCCTCAGGGTCCAGGCAGGGAGTAGGATGGGGCCACAGGCAGCTCATCCAGGGGACAGGTTGGCTCCCCGCCGCTGGGAACAAGACCCCCAGATCTGTGTGGGGCAGGTGCAGACTGTGTTTTCAGGGCTTCCCGCCCTGCTGACCTCCCCCTGGAGCCTCCACAGCCCAGCTGGCAGAACCAGCACAATAGGGCAGGGCAGGGAAGCTCAGTGTAGCAGGGGATTCCCAAGGGCGGGAACAATGGCAAGACCCACCCTGCTCAGTGGGTAGCAGTGGGGGCGTGGGTCAGGGCTTGCAGTGGTGGTGCCCAGCTGTGCTCTGCCCTGCTGTACCGGGTCCCACCTGCTGGGCTGTGGAGGCCACGAGGAGAGAAGCAGGACAAGGAGCCCCAAGCCTGCAGCCTGCACCTGCTTGGAGCACAAACCTGGGGGGCATGTGCCCCACATAACCCACCCCAGGAGTGTGCACAGCAGTGGGGACCCAGACCCCCCAAGCCTGCAGCAGGCAGCCCACACTCACCTCCCCCCATGGGCTATGTTTGGGCTGTAGCGCCCATGGGGAGAAGAGAAGCCAGGCTCTGCACTCCACTGCGCCACACCAGCTGTCACCTACCACAGGCAGCAGCCAGGGCTTGGGCACTACTATGGGGTGGTAGGAGGGTGCAGACCCGGGTCTCTGGCCCCACAGTCCTGGCAACTGGAGACCACCTTCAGCAGGGCTGGGAGGGTGGCAGGGTGAGGGGCACCAGAAGGTCCCAAGGGGTTGTAGGTGTTAAGTGAGGGGCAATAGCATCAGGGCTGCTCGGTGCCACAAAGTAGTGGGGGTGGACGGCTACAGCTGAACCTGCATCTCTGTGAGCAAAGGGGGCAGGGGAAACTCTGATTTTCCATGATAAAAAAAAAACACAAAAAAATCAAATGCCAAAATGTATAGGTATTTAGAAATTATTTTATTATAGTGACTGAGGCACTGATGGGCTTCCAAATTGCTTTAAAATTGTGAACGTATCAATATAACATAGTGTCAGCTGACATCTATGTATACAGTGGCGTTTCATTTTAATCACAGAAAAATATGGATGGGGTAGACGCGGGGGTTAATCAGAGAATTTGCTATTTTTTTTTAAACAGAGAAAACCAGGATCCGTGATTAATACACACCAAGTTGAGAAGTTAGGAAATGTCTGGAAATACCAGAAAAAGTGTCCATACATGCTTAATTTAGCCAAAGTATGTGCATCATCATATACTCTTCAGTTATATAATTGCATGATTACTTTCCACTGGACTCTTGTCATTTAATGCACAGGAAGGGCTGTGCTCAGGAAGTGAATCATGGGAATAAGTCTGTCCCCTGTCTTTTTAATTTATTAACATGTTAAGGGACCAGATCACAGGAAGTGCTTACTATATAACTACTGGAATGTGTATGCAACATTATGCAAGAGGACCATTGTTGGGAAACAAACCAGAGACAACAAATGGTTCCAGATAAACACCCCCTATGCAAAAGAGATCAGGAGCTTATAAGACAATATTTGTGCTATTACTTATGCAAAATACCTATTCCAGGCAATAGCCAAAGTTAAACAGTTGTCTTTACAGCTGGAAAGCTTAAGAAAATCATTAGAGCAGCAACTGTTAGTGAGTTGTTCATGGAAGAACAAGCTGACAGCGAGCCATAACCTAACAGAGAAAAAGAAAATCACAAGTTTTCATCTGAGTACAGGCGATAGCAAGAGGCTTACCACCTGAGGGGATGCACTCAGAGACCGTGATGGGTCAAAGGTGCAGCTGCTCTGGAGTGATAATTTTAGGGTTATGTACCAAAGACAGCTGCTTGCCTGTAAGAGTTCTGCTTCTTTTGTGTCCAAAGCTGGAAGGTGTCACAAACAGGGCAAAGAACTGCAAAAAAAAAGATGGTCTGGTGCTACTCTGGGCAACTGAATTCTATGCCTGCCTCTGGCAAAGAATTTCGATAGAATAAAGAGCAAGTTACTTAAAAATAATTTTAAAACCTAGCCACTAACTGTGCTCTTCATTTTCTGGGAACCCAGCTTGAGACACTAATCTGCAGAAGTGCTGATCACTACAGTCAGTAAAAGCTGTGCTGTGAACAAAATCAAGCACAATAAAAAGCAAAGTTCTCTGAAAATACTAGCCACAGGCATCCTAAACTTGGAATTCAAGATTAGTGGATTGCTTTGACCTTCGTATCTCAGCTCCACCAGGTACTGTAAACATTCATGTATGCAAAGAACTCAG